AGAGATACAGCTGGTATATACACCCTTATATACAGCGTCAGTCCTGAGAACCCCGCACCGCAGGAGCACATCAACACAGGGAGAGCGCCTGACGGAGAGCACAAAATGGTTTAGTGGCAGGGACATTTAGATGCTTGTCAGGCCATAAGAGACAATTGCTGCAGGCTAGGGAAGAGCAAGGCTAGGACTAAGGGAAGGAACATAGGAGAGTAACCCAAGGATGTTGACAACTTGTCCTGAACCCTTACCCACAGCAGAGGAAATACTTTTGAGGGGGAGGGTTGCAATTTTCAGAAGCACTGAGAAGATTTCGGAGTAGTTTTACCATTGAAAGTTGTTACGCTGAAGCTCCTAAAGAACAGAGGCACTTCTGAAAGCATTTCTTCGAGGCTTTGGAAACGGCCCGAGGAGTTTAGAACAACAAGTCCTGATTCCAGAAGTGACCTGGGCATCAGAGATCCTGATTCCCCTTGATGACCATTTCAGACCATATTTTTAAACAGGCCAGGCACATAAATACCTTTAAAAATATGGCCTGGATGTCTTATTTTTAAGAAGTGCATGTAAGCTCCTAAAACACTTAGGCGTCTTATCACTTAGGAGAGTGATTTTCATTTGCGGATCCCTTTTTTCCATTTGCAGACCCCTAAACGACTGGTAATGGAGGTGTTGGACCCTTTTGAATTGTAAGTGTGGGAATTCACGTACTTTTGATTGATCACAGTCATCTTCTGCAGATCCCTTAGACGTAGACCACAGATTGAAAACTACTGACCTAAGATGCTCTGAAGACTTTTGGGTGGCAGTAGTATCTCTGGTGTAACAGGGCATATCATCAGCTGGTGCACATACAGGTTGTAATCTCACTGAGTACAGTGGTGCTGTGAAAGTATACACTGGTTGAGCCTCGTCATCACTTTGTTCTTTCCTTACAGCATTGTGAGCCTCCAGCACAAATTAAAGCTTTGAGTGCCATATCATGTGAGGTATTAATCAGGAAAGAGCAGTATTTGCATATTATTAGCATTATCGTTCCATATGATTGCGCAGTGTACTAATGTAAGCCAATTCGGCCTGTCTTTTTAAATATATTTTATATATATAATATCTCATTTTCTGGCTGTAACTGTGATGTTCAGTTTTTCAGCCGCACGGTCTGGATGAGTGGTGTGGGGCACGCCCATAGGCCAGATCCCATATGGGATTGGCACTTGGCCTGGCTCCGTGCCTCCTCAGCCTGGCCCTGCACACCTGGATTGGACCCTGTGCTACCTCGACCTGACCCTGGGCACCCAGCCTAGCATGCAGGGCCACACCATGCAGCCCACAGGGCTTCCCGTGGGTCTGGAAATTTGGCAGCAGGGAAATGATGGTGCCGCCACTACTCCCCCATCCCCAAACTTTCAGACCTGTAGGGAGATCTACAGGCTGAATGCCATGGCTCAGTGGGCCAAGTTTGGCTCATGGGTCAGGGATTGGCATGCCTGGGTTACAACACCACCCTCACCGCAGTCTGCGGTATAACAGGGTTCACCTGGAGAGTGGAATGTATATCTGGGCGATCTAATCAAACGTTACTGAATTTTGGGAATGAATAAGTAAAATAAAAAAAGACTTTCTTATAAGATGTCAGGAAAAGAACTTTTTGTAAATACAGTTGGGTTCTGATTTATTTAATGTAATGTAGTCAGATATGTATGCATGTCACCAAGTGGACATATGTTGTGTTAGAGGTCTTTTCAGACAAGCCTGCTAACTGCGGCTTTGCTGAAGTGTGTGTGTGTGTGTGTGTGTGTGTTGGTGACTTTTCACACTAGATCATGTTTTAATAAGCCTCCATGGAAGACAATGGGACCAGAAGGATTGCAGGCAAAGAACATCAGAGTTTCATTTAACATTACAGTCGTTTTTTCCTGATTTTTATTTTATTTTATTTTTTTTTACTTCATTTATTTATGTATTTATTTCCATCGTGGCAGCCTCTGAATATACTACAGTTAATCAAAGCATAGGAAAAAAACTTCTTGCAGGATTCAGTTACTGTCTGCTTGTACAAGTTTCATAGTTTCTAGGGTCGGAAGGGACCTGAGCAGATCATCTAGTCCGCCCCCCTGCCATGGCAGGAAAGAGTACTGGGGTCAAACGACCCCAGCAAGGTATACATCTAGCCTCCTCTTAAAGACCCCCAGGGTAGGAGCCTGCACCGCTTCTCTTGGAAGTTGGTTCCAGATCCTAGCTGCCCTGACAGTGAAATGTCGCCTCCTGATGTCCAACCTAAACCTACCCTCTGCCAGCTTGTGACCGCTATTCCTGGTCACTCCTGGCGGTGCTCGGGGGAACAGGGACTCCCCCAATGCCTGCTGGTCCCCTCTGACTAGTTTGTAAATGGCCACAAGATCCCCCCTCAGCCTTCTCTTG